CTTCAAACCCTTACCCCTGGTCGACGGCCATCACTTTGTGCGAATGGCCCAATCAATTTTTAGAGTAGCGAGCTTGGATTAACCCATTCGATTGTTAAGAGGCTCCAGGCATTATTGATAGTATTGATTGAATCTTGGTTGAGCTATTCGCAAAAAGGTGATGACCGTCTACTCTGTAGCTCAGGGGTAAGGGATTGAAGTCACAACCCGAATGATCGCGGTTCGAGTCCTGAAAGGAACACAAAAAGTATGCACTGCTGACGAGTCTCAAACAGGACGAAACAGCTGTCCAGTGCTCTTTGTCGGTTATCACACACATTTCCGTCGCATTTAAATGCACACAAACAGTGGGGAATTAGCGATCTGCCAAGGAGTGAAACCCACACCGAAGACCATCAATAATGCCTGGAGCCTCTTAACAATCGAATGGGTTAATCCAAGCTTGGTTATCTAATAACCTCCGAATTATTCGTGCGAAATTCGGGTTAGACATGTTTAAAGACTTTTGATCAGGTTCCAATCTGGGCTGTACGCAGACTACAACTTTGTTTTGATGCCTCGAAGCAATGGACAGCATTGTGTTAGTGACGAATAGTGAACTACCGTGAGGTTTTGCTGCAATATGGCTTCAGGCTGATAATTCGATGCCATTACTGTGGCACAAGATGCGGCACCAATGTACGAGTATGTGCACCAGAATATTGCACCGCACACACGATAGCGAGTTCGAGTGGACCATTGTTTGATACGCCCCCTTCCTCCCAGAACGTCACGGAGTTTCGAGTTTTTGAACCATCTGAACAGTTCAGCAAGCGGTAACAGAAAATGTTTGAACCGAAAAATATTATTGCTTTCGCTACATTCTGAGCTCATCATCAAATGTCTAAATCCGTTTGCACTCGCACTCAAGTGTGCTTCATTTCTTCCACTCATTCCCACCTATTCGCTCTGTTATTCCGTTAGGAATTGGAGCATAGTATAAGGGAACTTCCATCCACCGAACGTGTTGGACCGTTGTTGTTCACCACGGACGATCTGAAGAATGGTTTGATTCGTGAATGTGGCACGTGGCGTCGAGTCTATGGACAAGCATTGAATCAATGTCGAGCACAAGAGATGAACAAAATTCTGGAAACGTTTGATAATCTATCGAAACGATTGAGTCGTCCCATAAAAGATTTGGACGATGTGCGTGGACAAATGGCTGCACTGGCGGAGCTGCGTGAGGCCGAGATTGAAATCGACATGACAATCGGGCCGATTGAAGAGTCGTACGCGCTACTGAATCGATACGAGCTCTACTTCAATGACGGCAATGCCGAACGTGTGGACGCGCTGACCTACGGATTTTCGAAACTGCGCACCCAAAGTCGTGAAGTACAAGACCATTTGTTGGAAATTCAGCCCAAATTTAAATTGGAACTGGTTGAAGGCGTGCAAGCGTTTAAACAGGATGTCACCGACTTTGTGCAAGACTACGATACAGTGTACGTTTCTATCTTGCTCGTTATGAGGAAGCTTTGTAATCCGAAGTCGTCAGCCCACGAAAGCATTCGTTCTGGAGAAAAGTTTCGTTGTGAACATTAAAATAACATAAAATTTG